TTATTGTTTTTGAATTAATCATTTTAGTGGTAAAAGCCTAGAGATGTATCAGTTTTTGAACTTTTGATCTCTGACAGTTGTGGTGGTGAGTACAGCTCATTTTTATCCTTATCCTTGTAGCACCTCTCAGGCTCTGAGAGATGTGAATATGAAGGGAGCAGAGAAACTCACTTCCACCATCTTCTCTATGTGTTTCTTGATGATCGTGGGGTCAGCGCTGGGCTTCACTGAAACGGCCCACTCATCAATCATACTGGGCTTGGGATCAGGTGCGGGGGCAGGGCTGGAGTTCTGCTACAGTTGATGAGAAATCAGAGACCATGAGATCAATATTAAACCAGAGAAGCGAAGCAAAGAAAGCTGCCACACAGGGCAGAAGTCAGGAATAACCTCGGTGGATCAGAATGAAAATACTTTTTGAAAAAGATTTCCAGCGTAACAATTCTGAGGTTCAGAAGGTACGCTTGAAATCACCATTATCTATCATAGCAAGTCTGTAGAAAAGCAATATTAGTGCATGAGAAGTGAGGGGCTGGGAACACACGGGATGAGTATATCACCATGCTGCTTACCACTGGCTTGCGTGGTTCCCTCTGTAAAGACATCTGATAGATCTCCTCTTCTGTGTGGTATTGGTCCAGAGACACCTGCACAAACAGCCAATGTGAAAAAGGCGCATGAAAAAATTCAAGTAATTTCCATTTATCAGGTAAAATCAGGTATTAACACCAGCGGTTATTTCAAATAAGAATACTTTTACTTTTAAAATGTCAAATATAATTTTTGTGTAAACTTCAAAAGTAAAGATTTAACCATTTTTATAGATCAACATTTTGGTTCATACTTTCCAAATCAGTCCTACAAAACCTAAAGGCTAAAAAGTTCTTTGCTAGACGTCAATGGTTTATGCAGTGTTGCCAACTCCTCAGTAAGGAAAATCGCTATTGGTTGTCCTAAAAGTCGCTAGAAGTCGCTAAATGACGTCATCACCTAATTTGCATAATTGGTCATGCTAATGTAATTGTAACCTACGCTGCTGGAGAGAGAAATAACATCGTGGACGAGACATAAAGTGAGCAAAAAACGTCCTAAATGCATTTAGAATTTATTTAGAACTACAAATTAAATTTCTTTTAGCAATTATTGTTTTTGTAATGTCTTTCACGTCTTTTTTTTAGCGACTTTTTTTCTAAAAAAAATTGCTAGGGGGTCTGAAAACTCGCTAAATATAGCGACAAAGTCGCTAAGTTGGCAACACTGGTCTAGTTAGCTATTAAAGTGTGAACTGTGCTAGCAAGCTACTGGAGTTAGCTAAGGCACTATACATATTTAAATGTAAAGAGAGGGGAAGACCCAAAAGTCTTTCGCTTTAATGTGCAGAAACATCATAGCTTAGAACAAACATTTGAGTTTGGAAAGCTTATATAAATTTACTTTTTGGTTCTTTGGTCTGTTAGCAATTTGCTGCAACACTTAGCAGCCTGCAGCCATTTATTGTTGCTAGCTGACAGAACTGAAAAGAAGTCACCTTCATAGAATATAAAAATATTTCAGCTGTAAACCATTTCAGAACACTTGTCACCTGCTATATATAGTGATATATAGTAAGTGCATGCTTTCGTTCTGAAAAATATATTGCCAAGTTGTCTGAGGGTACACCATTTATTGCAATCTTTTGCTAATAACTGCCCACATACGCACACTGAAAAGTTTTATTTATCGGACATTGATCCAGTTTCTTGTATGGTGCAATATAATATTGGATTCTTTAATGGAGGCAAAGGTTGTCATCACTTGACTTGTGTTAACTCTAAAGTCACATGATGTCAGCTGAAGTGGCTTGGGTGGCTGTAGCTCAGGAGGTAGAGCAGGTCACCTACTGATCGGAAGGTCGGTGGTTCGATCCCTGGCTCCTCCAGTCTGCATGTCAAGTATCCTTGGGCAAGATACTAACCCCAACTTGCTCTCCGATGCGTCCATCGGAGTATGAATGTGTATGAATGTCGTTAGAAAGCACTAAGTATAGATAAAGTGCTTGTGAGAATGGGTGTGATTGGGTGAATGAGGCATGTTGTATAGAGCGCTTTGAGTACTCCGGGAGAGTAGAAAAGCGCTATATAAGAATCAGTCCATTTACCATTTGAAGTAGCTCCATTAACTGACTTACTGTCAGATGTAGTTTAAAGCTGAGGATAGTCAATAAACATGGATCTATATGCATCTGTTAATTTGTAAGTTTAAAGACAATATATAAGCTTAATTACTTTATACTGTGAAAATTTAAAACAATAGCAATAATCCAAACACCTAAATCCAGGCATCTCATAACAACAATTTGTTGAATATAAATGTATTCAGACCCTTCCACACAGAAACATGTTTCTCAGAGGACCTGTTAAGCAGAGTCATCTCTTGCGTACACAGCCATTATAGCAACAAGTGAGAGAGCAGCATCTATTTTTTGCACTTGTAAACACCATAGACATGTGGCATATACGGTCTATGGTTAACACATTTAGGTCTGCTGCTACACGTACTCGTCTACTGCATCCACGCTTGGCCTCGTACACTTTTGTTTTCCTTAAGTCCTACTCTCTCGCTGTACTTGTGTGTCTTGTGTTTTAGTCAGCCGGGACAAAATTGCTAAATTATTTTCTTTTTATTGAACCGTGTCATTTCGAAGAATTTCAGACATTTCAGGGAAAAGGTTCAGTTGCAAAGCTGCAGCAAGTACATTTGAAAAACTGAAGAGAAAAATAACCTGCGTGGTTTGCTTATTTTACCTGTCTAAAATAAAGCATGCCTTCCCCTTTTCATTATTTTGAACGAGTTATTGACTTGCTTTCCATCTTATCGCTGCAAACCCAGCAGGCCTCATGCTAGATCATGAGGCCTGCTAGATCTAGCCTCATGCTAGATCACCTCCAATAAGCACTGGCATAAGATAATTGGATATTGACTCTGTCCAGCTTTTTCTCTTGCCTCTCAGCTCCAGAAGCTGTCAAGTTATTTTCTTTTATTTTCACGGGAGAAAAAAACAAGAAACCAGCTGCAATCTCACAGCAACACCTGCTACCAGTAATTGATCTCCTAGGATTGTTTAAATTCAGAAAGCACTCAAATTCAGGAGATTCCTGTCTGCATCTGCCAAAAATATTGACATACACACACACACTGGGTTGTGAAGTTGTAAAATGCCACTACCACCTCAGCTTTCAAACTAAAGAGCACGTAGCAACAATTAAGGTATCATTCTCACTCACTGTTACATGATTTTACAACACATCCACTTTATTTCAAGTGGACGTGTAGTAAAATATTCGCTTAAAATATATTTCTTCATACTGACTTATTTAGTCGTTGAGGTAAATCCAAAACATTGCCTTTTGTTTAAATTCCAGTTAGATTTTGGGCTGAATGCAAAGCAGTTTAGTCTGTTTTCCCTGGGTAAATAAAAACAGCTGATGATATCCTCACTGCTGTATATTTCCTGTGTGCTACTGTGCTCTCTAAAAACCCTTTACCCTCTCATTTCTCTCTCTATCAAAATGTTTGTCAAACCACAAATTATGAGCCACTTCCTTTTGTTGTTGCCGAGTGCCACTAGTCAAAGCAGATGTCGCTGACTGGCACCATGGTAACATTGGTTACAGTCTTGCATTAGCCTGGTGGGGAGGTGTATACTTTTTACTTTCACTTTTTTTTGTCTTTATTATTGTAAAACTACAAAACAGCCCAGTCCAAATGAATTGCTCCTGGTCTCAACTAGTTATGTGTATAAAGCACTAGGGCTGCTCGATTATGGCAAAAATGATTATTAATGAATTAATTAATTAATGATTATTATAAACGATTATTTTCACTGAAATTGAGATCTCGATTATTTGACGATATTTATTTAACAATAACAATGTATTGAATAATGACTTTAAAGATTGTCAAAAAATAATATAAAATAGTGTGCAAATACTGATAACAGTGCAAATGTTTGCAATATAAAAAATAAATGAAAAATGTAAACATCTATGT